AGAGGAGGTAGAGGAGGTGGATCCAGGGGAGGTAGAGCAGAAGGTGCGGAGAAAGAGAGACAATGTGGAGATGCAAAGGGAGGGAGGTTGGGAGCTGCAAGTGGGGATGGATATCATGCAGTTCAAGATGATGAAATCAGCTGAGGAGCGCACAGCGAGGAAGAGGCTCGTGGATGATGATGGTGTGGCTAATGTGCGTGGTCCGGGCGGGCAAAACTTGGGAGGAAAGGTGGCTGATGCGGTCCTGTGTCTGGAGTACAGGGAGACAACCAGTTCGGGAGGCCGGTCGAATCCTAAAGGAACACCGGGAAAGAACCCCGTAGTGAAGCGAAGGAAGCAAGGAGAGGCCGGGGTGGAGGAGAGAGAGGGAGTTGATATGGACACATCTACGCAGGCAGCCTCCGGAGAGGAGGACCGCCGGGTCCAATGAATTGCCTCAGTTGGAACTGCCGGGGAGGGGGGAACACCCGGACAGTTCGTGAGCTTGCGACGATTTGTCGGTCGCGTTCCCCCACTTTTGTATTTTTATGTGAGACTAGACAGAAGGAAGAGAAGATGAGGAGATTTAGAAACAGATTGGGTCTCAAAGGGTTTTGTGGTGTTGATAGTGATGGTATGAGTGGTGGCTTGGCATTATATTGGCATGAGAATTGTGTCATGGAGATCGTGAATAAAGATGAGAGACACATTGATGCACTTATCCGAATGCAGGTAGAAGCAGTACAATGGCGAGCTACATTTGTCTATGGAGAACCTCGAGTTGAGAACAGACATATCATGTGGGCAAAACTACAGAATCTAAAAACTGTAAGCAACCTCCCATGGTTAGTTTTGGGTGATTTCAATGAAGCAATGTGGAACTTTGAGCATATCTCAGCGACACCGAGGGCGGAGTCACAAATGGTGGCCTTTCGGGATACCTTGGAAATTTGTGAGCTGGTGGATTTGGGCTTCAGGGGAGTACCTTTCTCTTATGACAACAAGAGGAGTGGTTCTGCTAACGTTAAGGTACGTCTGGATAGAGCCGTGGCGACGAATGCATGGCGTAACTTGTTTGCGTTTGCTGAAGTGGAGCACATCCCATTGCCTTGTTCCGATCATGTGATGCTTCTGTTGAAGGGCGAGGCAGACCCAGCACCTGTTGGGAGGAAGTGCAGGCGCTATGAGATTTTCTGGGAAAGAGATTCGGCACTCCCAAAGGTGATAAAAGAAGCCTGGGCTGTCGTTGGGGAGGTCCGAAATTTGACACAGTTAAAGGACGCTCTCACAAAAACCATGAGCTCGCTGGGATCATGGGGTAGGAAATTTGGCAATGTGACGAGGGAGTTGGCAAAATCCCGGACTCAGCTAGAAGAGCTCATGAACATGAATGCTGATCGGGAAGAGATTAGGATACTGACTGACAAAATGAATGAACTGTTGTATCAGGAGGAAATGTTATGGTTGCAAAGATCACGAATTTCATGACTGAAGGAGGGAGATCGAAACACAAAATTTTTCCAGAGCAAAGCTGTTTGGAGAGCTAGGAAAAATAAGATAAGGGAGTTGACTGACAGTATAGGTGTTGTGCACTCGGACCTTGGGGCCATGGGATCCTTGGTGAATGATTATTTTCAGAACATCTTTTCGGCTGATTCTTCGCTTGATGCAGCTCCTATTGCTGATTTGTTACAGAGATCGGTGTCAGAAGAGGACAATGATAGGCTGTGTGCGCCGTTCTCTGATAAATAGATTGCTGACGCTATGTTTCAGATAGGACCCCTAAAGGCGCCAGGGCCAGATGGGTTTCCCGCACGATTTTTCCAAAGGAATTGGGGGACAGTGAAGGACGGCATGATTGCTGCGGCCAGAGACTTTTTCCAAACGGGGGCGATGCCGGAAGGTGTGAATTCTACGACTATTATTTTGATCCCCAAAATTGCTAACCCCACTAAGTTGGCTGAATACAGACCAATTAGCCTGTGTAATGTGATATACAAGGTAATATCTAAGTGCCTTGTGAACCGCTTGAGGCCGCTTCTGGATGATTTAATATCGAGTGAACAGAGTGCATTTATCCCTGGGAGGATGATCACTGATAATGCCCTAGTGGCTTTCGAGTGTATTCATTACATTAAGCAAGAGAAAGATCCAACAAAAAGTTTCTGTGCTTATAAGCTTGATCTGTCCAAAGCTTATGATAGAGTGGATTGGGGTTTCTTGAGGCAAGTGATGCAAAAGATGGGTTTCTCCCAGTGATGGCTTGACTGGATAATGGCATGTGTCACATCGGTGAGGTATTCTGTTAAACTAAACGGAACTCTCTTGGATTCGTTTGCACCGTCGCGAGGGCTTCGGCAAGGTGACCCACTGTCTCCATTCTTATTCTTGTTTGTGGCGGATGGTTTATCTGCAATATTGCATAGTAAAGTGCAAAGTGGCGATATCACTCCAGTAAGAGTCTGTCGGCGGGCACCAGGCATCTCACACTTATTGTTTGCAGACGACTCTTTATTGTTTTTTTGAAGCTTCTAGAGGACAGGCTGAACGGGTGAAGGTTGCTCTGGACCTATATGCTGTTGCAACAGGACAGAGTCTCAACTACAGTAAGTGTTCTATGTTCTTTGGCAGTGCTTGCCCGCAAATTATTCAAGATGAAGTCAGAGATGTCTTAGGGGTAACTAGTACTGTATTCGAGGAGAAATACTTGGGGCTTTCAACTCCAGATGGGCGCATGTCTAAAGGCAAGTTTCAGAATCTTCAGACAAGCCTTACAAAGCGGCTTATCCAGTGGGGCGATGGTCATCTAGCGCAGCCTGGCAGAGAGACTTTGATCAAGTCAGTGGCCCAAGCATTACCTACTTATATAATGGGCGTGTTCAAACTGCCCTTCTCGGTTTGTGATGACCTCACTACGATGGTGCGGAATTTTTATTGGGGCTCCACGGAGGGGAAGAGAAAAGTACATTGGAGAGGCTGGGATTACCTTATGCAGCCTAAGGATAGAGGAGGAGCTGGTTTTCGAGACTTTCGGCTGTTCAATCAAGCTCTCCTAGCCCGCCAAGCTTGGAGATTAATTACGAGGCCCGACAGTCTATGTGCACAAGTGTTAAAGGCAAGATACTATCCGGAAGGCAAACTTGAGGACACAGTTTTTGCGGGCAATGCATCATCGTCATGGCAAGCTATTAGTTACGTTTTGGAGTTGTTGAAGACGGGTCTAATATGGAGAGTGGGCAATGGCATGAGCATCCGAGTTTGGCGTGATAACTGGATCCCCCGACCGTTCTCATATAAGCCGATCACAAGACAAGGACACTACCGGATCCGCTTTGTTTCAGACTTTTTGAATGATAATGGTTCGTGGAGGAGTGATCTACTGTCACAATATTTTATGGCTGCAGATGTGGAGGAAATAATGAAAATTAGAGCATCCCCTAGGCTGGGAGAGGACATTATTGCTTGGGGGCCAGAAAAGTCTGGGAATTTCACAGTTAAGAGTGCTTATCATCTAGCCTTTGATGAGCTGACCAGAGGGAATGTGGCTTCGTCGAGCACTTCGGCAAATGGCGGCAGGAGTTGTTGGAAGTTTATTTGGAATTGTGGAGCCACGCCTACAGTGGCAAATCATGCGTGGAGAATTGCTACTGATGGATTACCAACCTGGAAAAACAAAAACAAGATTGGCCTGGAAACTACAAGTATCTGTCCGGTCTGTGGGTTGGAGCCAGAAGACAATTATCATCCGTTTGTTAGATGCCAGTACGGACGGGATCTATACCAAGCCATGGCCAAGATCTGGAGGCTCCCTGAGATTGACTCACTAGTTAACGATGGAAAGGAATGGTTATTTCAAGCTTTGGCGCCCCTGTCTGAGTTGGAGCGGTGCATGATGCTGTTCATTTTTTGGCGAAGCTGGTTCGTGAGAAACGAGATCACACACGATAAACCAACCCCTCCGATGAAAGTCTCTATTCGCTTCTTACAGAGCTATCTGGGTTCGCTGCTTGCTGTCCAATCCAACACGCACATGGACCCGGTGAAAGGGAAGATTTCTGTTACTTTGGATCGTGCCCCTCCAGTTCCAAAAATCGATGAGGTATGTCGAAGGTGGGAGAAACCAGTGCGGGGCTGGGTAAAACTCAATACGGATGGATCCTTTGTGTCCACAGATGCTGCCGGAGCTGGAATGATATTGAGGAGTTCTTCGGGTGAGATTATTTTTTCTGCATGTAGAGCCTTATTCTCTTGTCGTGATGCTCTTGAAGCAGAACTATGCGCCTGCATGGAGGGACTTTCATCGTCTATTCAGCGTTCCGATCTACCTATTGCTATTGATGTGGATTCTGCTATGGTGGTGGCCATGATCACTTGTGATGATATGAACCGTTCAGCGTATGCTTCTTTAGTTAATGAGATTAGATACCTTTTTACTCTCCGGCAATCTTGTATTACTCATGTTTCGTGGTCGCAAAATAAGGCCAGCGACAGTCTAGCTTCTTTTGGTAGAACTCAGGGTAGGACTATGACTTGGATTGGATCAGGTCCTTCAGAGGTGTTGGAGTTGGTAGCAACAGACTGTACTGAACCTGTGATTGAGTAATACATTGCAGTATTCGCAAAAAAAAATATATATCTTCTTCCTTCTCCGTTACCCGCTCAAACTCCCGACGTTATCGCGACCAGTGGCGGAGCGGGCGTTCCACTCCACTCTCCTCCGGCCCCGGCGCCCGCGGCAACCACACCTGCGACTCCACCGCCCCCTCCATGCGCGCCTGACCCCCCTCCCTCTCGGACCCGATGCCTCTCATGGCCGTCTCCTCCCCACCACCCTTCTCCTTCCCCTCCGCGCGCCACCCCCGCCGCGCCACCGCCGGGGCCACAGCAGCGTCCTCCGCCACCGCCAGCGATGACTTCGACTACCCCCTCGCCGACCCCTCCATCCGCTGGCC